CATGCTTTACGTCGACAGTCTGTGAAGTACATGGTTAGTGTGTGCCATTTGCAACTTGGGTTTTTTGAGATGGTACGGCGAGATGAAGGGAAATTGCCATGAATTTGCAGTAGGCTAAGTGCAGAGTGCTCTGCCAGGGTTATAACAACCCTATAGTATCAGTGTGTTCATCTCCCTCAGCCCCTTGCAAAAAAAAAAAGACCTTTCTCTGCACAAACCCCGAGCTGTTACAGTGCGCAATTAGCAGTGATATTATTCCCTGGTTAGACATTAGTCACACACCAAAAGCCAGTCCGAAACAGGCAGTCACAGCGTATGTGCATTCTCATTTATTATAGCAGCAGAAGAGCGAGTTTTATGACTGAGATTCTGACACTGCCCGTGAGATGGGTGCCCAGGGAATGCTCTGCTGCAGGTATTGTCGACCTGCAGAGATCCCAGGTTGAACAGAAACTGAATAATTAAACAGATGGAGGAGAAGAAGACACCTGGTGCCATCGTAGTGAAGGTTAGCAGATGGGTCTGTGGCTAATAAAGGGACCAGATTGTGCGTTGAATGTAATGGAGGGGAGTTTTTGAGATCCAGACAAAAGCAACATTACTCTCATCATCTGTCACCATCCGGCGGATTCAGTTACGCAATGCAGGAAGGGATCATATCCAGAAATGAAATGCAGGAGTGCATGAGCTTTTATCGGTTGTTTGAATCTGTTTGTTTTCATTTCAGCAGTAGTGCTTCTTACATGCCTCTACCTGATGACCTTTCCTGTATAATGTACTGTACATTATTTTCTATGAATCACAAAAATACCCCCAAGGAAAACTGAATATTTCAGTGTAAATAATGGTATTCCTCGCATTTGTAAAGGGTCAGCCAACCTCTGCAGCAATATATATCCCCATTGTTTGGTTCTCTGACTCATAAACCCCTGAGGAGCTGCTTAAGGGTGTATTAGACAAAAAGTAGACCCACTGACCCAGTGTGAGTGGAAACAAAGTGTCTGTCCTTAGTCAAAAGAGAGAGGCCAGAGGGCAGTAGAGGAAACGGCAGAGTAGACTTGAAAATGCAAACCATCCTTCACTTTCTTCCCCCGGCAATCTCCCATTGTCTTGATTATCTTGAGAATGTACTTCCTCTAACCCAGTGAGAGACTTCACTTTACAAGCTTGTATTTGTCGTGTCCATTTAAAAACCAATGAAAAGCATCTCATATTGGTATTGGCCAGCCAGATTCAAGAATAATTAAAATCACGTTCCCCTAAATTAGATGCTGTTTCTCCAAGGTGCCAATTATGATTTCGACAACTCTTAGAAAGTGGAGGAGAATAAAGAGACTGCTAACAAATATGGCACTATGGGTGCAGGAATTCATTCCCACATTTCTTAGTTTAGTAATGAGCAACATGGACCAAGGAGCTGCTAAATTATCTCCAGGGATCTGACCAAGAGAGTGTGTGCTCCAAATATATAAACCCACTTAGCCTGTGGTGGAAACATTTATTAATATTTTTGCCAAACTATATACTTTTTTAAAAGATATTTATACAGCGAGAAAGAGTTTGCAGATTTGAGATTTAATTTCAGAGTAGATGCATTGGTTGGGTGATTCTAATTCAGTGTTTGCAGATTTTACTGCCTTTCTTAATGAATCAAAGTGTGCAAAACCAATAACTACAAGCTTAATTCACTGACTAATTAACAAACATTACGTTGCTTGGGATAATTAGACAGAGAAAGAAAGCTATTAAAATGAAATATTTTTCTTCATTTCACAAGTGAAATGGAATTTCATTTCTTGTAGTTTTGTTTGTTCTACATCTAATAATACACTCGCATGTGATAAATAAAATATTAAGTGCTCCAATGGCAAGAGCAGATGATTGCACTCAGAGGGTTTAATGACAGTGGTGGGACCAAGAGGAGTAGGAGTAGCTGTTTTCGTTCACGTGTTTCAAACTAGATGGTCATAGTGATCACAAAAGTATGAAACAAGGCTGATACATGAAATGTGGTGTGGATGAAAAGAAGCTGGATGGAATTACTTTTGTCCCACTTTCAACTAACTTCATCTTCATCAGCACACTTTCTCAACTTTCGGGCTAATGATCTTCTCTTATTCCACTGAGATTTTGAAGAGAGAAGGAGTTAACTTTTGAAATAGGCAGCGTTACTTCAGTGAAAGCAGACGGATTATCTGAGATCTTAATACCCATCCTGCAGCACCGTTCTGTGTTTTCCGGGCCATGTGCACAGTGAGATGGTGGATTAATTTGTATTGGTGTATAAATCTGTATACTAATAATCTCTCCTTGGAAATGTGAGGTTGAGCTACTTAAAATTAACACTTGTTTTGTACAGTAACATTATATAAGAGTGAAACGGGATGTTTTACCTGCAGTCCTTGTTCAATGTGGCACATTCCCCTCTGCATTGAGATATGGGATAAGGTGACGGACAAGCTAATTTGTCGGAGGGTAATGAATGCCAGACAGTAACAGGTGGATACAGAAGCTGTTAGTCATGGATGGCTTTGTTATCTCCAATGATAATTACACTGACAATGTTTCAGCTGTAGTCAGGTCAGCCCAAGGCTAATACCCAACAAAGCTGCATCTATTATCCCCCTACGTTTCCCTGTGATAGAATATTTTGTGTCCAGGAATGCAGAATAAGATGACATGAATGATGCCCTGTTGCTTGGATTCAGTCCTAAAATCCCATCTATATTCATTGAAATCCTACTGTCCCCTGAAGGGAAGAGGACTGTTCTTAAATGCATGCAGGTTATTTGTTGACGCTGTTCACAATCAGGAGCCAGAAAAAAGACACAAATGTCACATCTAAAATGTTGAATGAAGCGACTGATGGTGGATTTAAAGGTTATAATCTGCTTTATTGGATCTTACAGTACGTGACGGAACGAGAAACAAAAGGAAATACTAAAGGAATCACTCGGTTGGGGAAACTCTCAGAATTCCCCTCTGTCTCCCACATTTCAGTCCTGAAGAGGCTAAAAAGATTGGAGGAATAATATTAATGCTGATTGCGACTCTTATCTCGAATGAGCCAATCAGAGTGCCTGGCAGCGTGAAAAGGTGTTGGATGATGATCAGTGTCTGGGAACTGGATAGCTTCTCCACAGCAAGCTTTATTTAAGGGTTTCAGAGGATTCAGGGTGTGGGAAATGCTGTTGTAGGTATCCCGACATGCAGTAATAGCCTGTTATCTTTGATTGTGGTTCAAACTGAGGTAGACTGAATGGGAACTGGTCTGAATGAGTGCAACTTCTACTGCTGTACTCAAGATACTCATAACATTATGATCCCATGGTACATTCATTTTGCAGTGACTCCAGGACGTTCCCATGGATGCTGCATGAGCTTTGAATCTAAACTAGCCTATGCATGCATACTGATGGACATATCTAATGTACTGATACTACCATGTTGCTTTGAGTGGTGTAAATAAATCCTCATATGTACTCTATTGTGGCTTGTTGCTTTCTTTCCTGAGGCCAGAGTCACCAGAGCAACAACAGTGAGACTTCTCACCTTCACTCCGTAGTACTACTAGACTGCGATAGATCTCATTACGTGTTAAATGTCCTCTTTCCTCTGAGTCGTCATGGACATATTAATAGAACTGGATACTGTTTTCTAGGAAAGCCCATCATTCATTCTAATTAGAGTTGCTCACTAGTAGTACATGGTTCTTCACACTTTCACATTTTTTGATGCATATTATGCATTTATTGGTCTTGATGAATTGTTTTGTCAACAATGAACTGATGATGAAATGATTTGTTTTTGTCTGACTAGCAGTCCAAAACGCAAATATATCCAGAAAATCCACTCACTTGACAAACTGCAACCACAAAATGTTTTCCATATTTTCTTAAAATAATGATTTAAACAATTAATTCATTATCAAAATAATTCATCATCTGCATAGCCTGGTGTTATTCCTGTTGTCAAACTCAAAAAGCTAGGTAGATTTTAGTGAAATTTAGTGGAAAATGCTTAATTTGTGTTTACATTTTTGCTTTTTAGTCCTGAACCTACTGTAATAGCCTCTGAGCACAGGCAGGCACAAGTGGCATCTTGCTACTGGTTTATTGAAAATCCTCACTCCAACTCCACCGTGAAAACTAAATAAACTACATTGACGAGAAAATATAAAAACCATGTTAGCTTAACATAAACAGTAACATGCACAGAATGTGGAATAACATTTACTAAAGTAAAATATAAACAAACAAACACCTCGTTGGCTGCATGCTACAAACAAAGGGAAGTCTTTGAGTCTTCAGAGGTAAACTTACCACCGCTCCCACTAAAATCTGATGTAACCCGTGTTAAACTTTTCACCTGAGCACACAAAGATAGTCTCTCTGCTTGCCAGCCGGAGTTGCTCAGCAGTCCCAGTCACACAAGAGCTGCCCAACGAGACTTGTATATGACTTAAAAATAAAAGTATAAATAACAAATGCAACTTTAAAACAAAAGGTAAACAAATTATGCAAATACGTCCTTTAATGGCAGCTCCGTGTGTGTGCATGTCGTGAGAAGCTGCTGTTTAATAAATATAGAGGATTGTGCAGCCATGGTGAAGGTATGCACTCGCTGAATGCTTTGCAGTGCCAAACTGTTTTCATAAATAGTGTGCACGTTTTTACTGACACCTCTGCCTCTGTGTCCTCAGTGTCCTTTCACTCAGCTTTAATGTGTTCATTGTACTGCTTAGTTGGAAATGAAATCTCAAGGGCAGAATGGTTTATGTGAAGTTAAGTGTGGTTGTGAATTACAATGCAATTGTCTTGTAGCTCTTTGCGAATGGGATCCTTTGGTTTTGAACTGTGTAAGAGAGGAAGCATTTACACAAGTAAACAAAATTAGATGGAGCTTCCCAACTAGTACACGGCAGTCAAAAATTCAATGAAATTAATCACATGCTGGACTCCAATGAGATTTTGATGTGTAGCTGTTTCCTTCTCTTACAGGAATCTCTTGGACCGAGACACTTTCTCCAAATCCGACCCATGTAAGTTCTCATCCCTCTACGATGCTAATTGTAGTTTAGCCTTCACTTCAGACGTTTTATGGTTTCCTTTTCTTCACTTCACGTCAGAATATGGTTCATTGATGCCTCCTCTCCTTTTGCCAAGCTTTACTTTTTACTTTCGCTGAGCATAACTGTGATTCAGTTTACTCTGCTATTTCAAAGTGTTCCTTCAATAACTGCATATCATTTGCACAGTAATGTGACAACCTTTTCTCACTGAGAGCTACAGAAAGTACCTTAATGCATGCAGGGTATAAGCATCAGCCTTTGAATACAAATGGGTGTCTTTTTGGTGAGACACATGGGGAACCGCTATTAAGGCATTTTCTTTGATACTCCCTGAAGGACAGAGAATGGAAGATACATTTAACATAATAAGGAGAAGGTTCAAGCCCTTTGTGTAAATAAGCTACTGGGAAAATGTTATACTCGCCCTGTTTTGTATTCGCCTGAAGATGAACCTTGGGATATTTGACAGGTCACGCTGTGTTCTCCAGCCTCAGCTTCATTTGAAGTCACAGAATCAAATAGGAATCAGGAAAATCCCACCATGAAGAAATTGTGTTTTGATTGCATGGCCTAAATTATGCTCCTGGAGCCTTCAATCTTGCTTTAGCGCTTTGTTCTTTGCATGCCGACCCATCATGCCTAGAATTTGATGCAGCGTGCGCAGCATCATCAAGCCTGGCACTTCATTATGCTGTCAGGGCGTGGCAGGATAATTAATGATGAATGTCAGCAAAGAAGGAACAAAACAAACACCATTTGAGGAAGCAGGATGCTTGATTGAGATTGTTTAGTGACAATGTATTCCTCTGCTCTCTCCTTCTCCCTTCGCCTCCTCTCTTTGCAGTGGTTGTGTTGTACACACAGGGCGTGGAGACCAAGCAGTGGAGAGAGGTAAGAGATCACAGCCTGTCAACACAACTCAATCAGCCTGTCTCCTCTACATGACAGCCCGTTCTCTGTTTACAAGCTCCATTCCCTCCTCTCTCTCAAGGTAAATGCTGTGAGTGCCTATCATTTACAATTGATTTACCCTGCAAATATCCAAGCGCTGGTCAGCACTCTGTTAGCTGTGACTGATTGGTTGATTAGGGTGACAGCTACTTGTATCGATAAAGATTTGCCTGTGCGTCACAATCCTCCCCCCAGCTGTCGGCCACTGGGCCTTAATTAGAACAGAGAGGCAGATAAAGTAGAGGTAGATATTGAAGAAAGACAAGGGGTCCTTGTAAGATTATCATTTCTCCCTGTAATCCCAATGGACAGACATACACATAAATGGCAATTTAAATTACATCTCAAAGGGAATACTTAATTCAATATTTTTTTCAGATATCTAAGGCAGCCCAGCCAGTCTTTGTGAACATAAAACAGTGTTTTCAAAAGCTGAAACCCACTGAAGTCAGAAAGGTATGACACAATCAATACTGTATGTACAGTACATGCTGCCTAAAAGGAATTTCACACTAAAATCCTGTTTGATTGAATAGGAGTGCTCTGTTTATTGACTATAGAGAGACACTGGTGTCATACTGGTGCACTGTGGTGTTACACAACATATTTAAGAGCGGGCTCTAACATACAAAGGTTTCAGTTATGTATCTGTGTTTTGGTGGTACAGGCTCTTAAAACAGATTTAACATAGATGAGAGAAACAAAATCTCACCTTTACATAGCAAAGCAACAAACACGCGCACGCGCACACACACACACACACACACACACACACACACACACACACACACACACACACACACACACAACTGCCTGTTGCCCAGTAGACTCTAGAGAGATCTTCTCATCGCTCTGCAAAAAAGTGAGTAAGCGTCTGCTTGTGGAATAGCAGTCCAACGATTGTTTAACTCTCAAACAATAGCTGTCCTTGCTTTCCAAACCATTTCCTCAGTTTACATTTTTTTTTACAACTGCTTACACACAAAATCTTTACATGTCACACGATTTTTGAAACTTCTCACTCAAATAGCAAAACCTCATCTCAAATCTCCAAAACCATTAGCTATTTCTCAGCCTTTCACTCAGTTTTCAATTACATAAAATACTTTTTTCAAAACACTACACACAATTTTCTACCTAAGACACAAACATCTAACAGGAAGTGACCTGCTTTCTTTTTCCAAACACAACCAATGAAAATGCTACGCTTATTCACGAGGTCACACAACCACTCCTCACATGTGCAAACACTAACTGCTTTACTGATCACTAACCAATCACTGCTTTAGTATACAGTAGACTTATACATAGGTCAAAGGTCAGATTACCTGTTTTGAACGATGGTAGGCCAACAATGGACAGAGAGCAAGGGGACAACAACAAGGACAAGTTCAAGGAGAAGAGGAGGAGGAGAGCCATCACTGATGAGTTCAGGGCCACACTTATTGATCATGTGATCAGCCACAGGTTGACAATGAGAGAAGCCAAACTTGAGTCGCTTTACAGTGCCATCCATAATTTGAACCTTCAGAAATTAGGTTGCAGCAATCTAATGGTTATTTCAGCATTACAGGATTGTAAAATAAGTTTTTATTTTTTGGCAATAAAAGTAAAAATGATACTTTTGTTTTGCAAATGTTTATGGTTCTCTTTTCTTGTATGCTGCTGGATACAACACTGTGCTACTGTTACAATAGTAATGTTTTGCCAAATAAATCTTTGCTATTTCAACATTGCATTGGTGTTTACAGTGTACTTTTCAGCACCTCCTAGCAGATTACTTTCACTCTAGAACATTGTATGGAAATGTACACATAAGCCTATGACAGACAAAAGAGCTTTAAATTTAGAATAACAGTGTGTAAATGCTATATTAAAGAACTTACTATTTTGAAAAAAGTGCTTGCCATCTGATGAAAGTGCTTCATTTTGGGATGTGTTTATGACATTTTGAATGCAGTGTTTCATTTTGAAGGACATATGAGGCATTTTGTATTTTGTGTGAGGAATTTTGGGAATTGTGTGTAGAGATTTGAAAAAAGGAGACATAGTGAAAACGTGTGTAAGCAGTTGTAAAAAACTGTAAAACTCAATAAACTCAAAGATTACAGTACATACAGACGGAGGTGCATCACATTTAAACTAACACCATGAATACGTTCACAAGACAGTGTTGCTAATTTTTACAATTTGTAACTCGTGTTGAGAAACCATTTTTTGTGTGTTGATTTTCTTTTAATATTATTATATTAATATTTTGTGTATTCATAATATTCATCTGTTACTTGGTGATCTGTTTTTTGTGTGTTATTAACCTGAGTACATAGTATTTTTCCCAGCAGGGACAATTGACCCTGCGCTAAGCCACGCCCCAAATACACGGCTGTCCAATCACAGTGCAGTAAAGGACTCGCTATAACTGAGGTCCGACACACTCCTTTCACTCTAATACAAAAAGAGTCGTTTTCTAGCTTTTTTTGGCTGTATTTTTCTGAGATATGGTCAAAGCTGTTCCTGGGGCACTTGTAATAGTTATAGTCGCTACCCAGAGAGGTTGACAGGAGAAGTACAATTTATTCTCTTGTTCTGATTCTGAGTATGATTCCATTGCTTTACTTAAAAAAATCTTTTTGCAGTGTTAATCCAGAGTTAAAGCCAGAAAGTACCGATTAACATGCAAATATAGATAAGCATCAGGCGCAGTCTTCAGGTGGAAAGAGCCTCCTACACATGTCACCTCTTGTTACACTGCCCCACCTCAAGCTTACAAACTGTGGGTGTAGCCTGGATGTCTGTCCCTGGATGAGATACGGGCCTGTGTTTTCAGTGCAGAAGACAGCTGGCTTTGTGAGCAGCAGAGTCAAGCTGTGCAGTATTGATAAAGCTAAGCGCCTCTTTTGCCCCTCTGTCATGTAATGTGTTTTTGTTCTCCTGAGACTAGATGTGGTTGGTCGGCGCACCTCTCACTGTGCCACCAACCGTCTGTAATCCCATCACTCTACTCCCCCCATCGGCTGTGAGACATTCACACTCCTCCATCATGAGAAGAATTTGAAAAGGAGGACGCTTTCATCAGCTCCTCATGAGATCTGTGCCCCCTTGACTAATTTTTATCAGCATTCATAGTCAAATACATAAAACTGTAGCTGCAGTCCGTCGTTCTGCTACCCCACTACTTTAAAGTCTTAATCTTCAACTCCCTCATTTGTAATTACTCCTACTGAACTGAGCAGCTGACAGAATATAACTTCTCTAAATTCAAGCAAAGCCAGGCCTTTCCACTTCTAGCCAAACTGCTAGACGTTAATCTTTTAACCAAGATTTATTTTCTGACATTACAGCTCACAATTTATCCTAGTTAGGGTTATTGGAGGGGAAAGATGTGCGCGCTGCCAGGGCCCTGATATCCCCTTAGCAGGGTTTTGTTTTGGAAGGGTGATGGTGATTTGTAGTGCTGTGCGAGTCTGGCTTTACAGGCAGACTGTGTACCGGCCAAAGAAGGAATAATGTGTGGACTGGGAGATCTGTTATTTCCTCGGGTTGCTGTGGTGCTGGCTCTGGTGCTGATTCTTCCTTTGTTAAAACCGGCCTGAGACCAAATTGATATGCAATCAGCCCCCCTGCTGCCACATTCAGCTCCTATCACTGAAATAGGCTCCTGTTCCCTCGGTGGAGAGTTCACTCCTTTGCATGTGCTGGAAGGGAGCAGTCACACTTTGTGACAGGGATCAAGAGGAAGAGTGAGAGGAGAGGTAGTGCCACACACTAGTTAAACTTTTATATGCCTACACACACTTTTATATTTGATGGCAGGTTACACTTCTGTAAATCCACTCTCTCAAACTGTCATATGTTACACACAATCCAGCTTGACTGTTTTTGCATTAGCATAGGCGTCCATCCATTAAAAAAATTCTGCTGTTGCAACGTTACTCTGCGTAGCTCCCCTGTTAAGTCCCACTTTGAGTTTTAACTCCACTGGATGTAATCACAAAGGTGTGAGCCTGTAATCCTGCTGTTTCATCTCCTCATTAAGCCCTAACACTGCTATTATTAATTCACTATGTCAGTTTATGGTAACGCTTTCTATTGGGGGTCTTTTATTTAGTCCTCTGGCTTTGAATTATTCATTCTTGAGACAGTTGATGTGCATGTGCGGGTGGTCTGTTGATTTGTTGATCGGCATCAGAAGGTCTTGCTCTGTAACGCTGACAAATCCTTTTTCAGTTTCTGTGCTGGCAGGTTCCCATTTTCTTCTCAACACTAGGGAACATTTGTGACATGTCCTCCCTCTGTCCTCTGCCCGTTGTTTGTGTGGCTCTGAGAGCAACAGTGGCGTTAATGTGGTATTAATTAAATGATTGTAATTGGACTCAATGAAGTGCTTTCCTCAGGCTTGCTCATTCCCAGCACAATGAAAAGAGGAGGGGAAGAAGAGCTGACACTGCGATCACTGACTTTATCAAATCTGAGCTTATCTGAAGCTGTGAAATCACACGGTTGCCAGGGGAAGATGGAGGGTTGGGGTGAGGTAATAGAGCAGTAGATGTAGTTTCTGAGTTACTGAATGATGTGCTGTCTCAAAGTGCTGCACTCACATTTTCCTCTTCTGCCCCCCCCCCCTTCTTTCTGGTTCTGATCTAGTTCGGGAGAACAGAGGTGATAGACAACACGCTAAACCCGGACTTTGTCAGGAAGTACATCCTGGACTACTTCTTTGAGGAGAAGCAGAACCTGCGCTTTGACGTGTGAGTTATTCCATTTGATCCGGTCCTCTGAGGACACACACTAAGGTGTGTGTGTGTGTTTCAGATGTGCCGCCCTTTTCTAACCCAGTCCTCCAACCACAGGCTTAACATATTCTCCCTCATTCACTCTCCGTCTTCTCCTATCTATCTCTTCATCCCTTCCTTCCTGCCTCTCATTTTCTCTCGTGGAGTCACTCTTCTTCTCCCTTCCCTTCCTTGCCACCAGCTCGACTCTCTCCTGAGGAATTATTCATTGGTGCGGCCTCTCAGTAGTCATTCGTTGAAGGGAGATTGGTATAAGGGTGATAAATATTTCATATAAAGTTTTATCCTTAATCTCCCTGCTGCTAAGCAAAGCAAATGTCTAAAAACCAAGTCCCATAAAACTCACAGACTCAAAGACGCCCCGCCCCACCTTCGCCCCCCTCTTTTCACATATTTCTCCCTTCCTCTCCTTGAAAAGGCCAGACTAGTGAGAGGGTCAGGGAGGTGCGGTTTCATTTTGAGATCTCAGAGAACAGAGTTTGGATTTTCTCCATTCTCCCCCCTCCTTAAGGAGCACGGAAATATGCTTTAAAAAATCTGTCCCTTTTTTCTTCTTCAAGCGTGAAGTCCCTGGTGGACTATCCAGGACAGAGCTGTAGGTCTCTGAGGATTTTTAGACACTTAACGAATTCATCTGGCGTGCTATCGTGATACAACTCTGGAGCAGGAAAGGAGGGAATGCATCCCCTCACAATTAGTGTTACTCATTTACATCATCTCTTTTATCACAGAGGTGGGAGCCAGGGCATACTGAGGTTTAATTACTTTTACATTAAGTTTGAATGGCAGATGCTTAAAACTTTCTCTGCATTGGTAGACTGTTTGAATACGATCCCCCAGGCAAGTACTGAAATTACATTCATAAACTATAGAATGACTTCCTTAATTAACTGTCACATTATTGCTTACACTTTTTTTTCTTTGGCCATTCCCTTTAGCTACCTCACTGACCCAGGTGTGTGATTGACAGGCAGAAAATGTCCACGCTGCAGCCAGTATTCTTTTATGAGAGTCTATAATAATTTGTAATGTGTTAGGATTTTTCCCATCTTCACCTCTGTGATTTGTGGGTTCTTTGTGATTCCAGGTATGATATCGATTCTAAAAGTCCAGATCTGGCAAAGCATGTAAGTGAAGAACGTGGCATGTGTGTCGTGGTATCCTAAAATGAATCTGAATTGTTATCAGTGCATGTCTCTAATTTTGAGGCTTTATGCAAACCAGCGTTAATGGCATCTAAAATGCTCAAATATATTATGGAATAATGAGTGAATTATGCTTCATCTGCCACAATTGTTTATTTTTCTTTACCTTCCACCTGCTTCACTTTGTAAAATTAAGTTTTTTATTCCTCTTGAGCTGTAATAATCAGAGTCCCATTTGCATCTGGCATAGCCCTCATTACTTCTTTTTTTTAATGAGAAATGAAGCATTGCGCATCATTATCAAAGCTATTCAACATATTTCCCTGTGTGCTCGGTAGTGTTTGCAATTTAGATGTTCATTTCAAGCACAGTTTATCCGAACAATATAAATTTATTTATATATTTAAATGGCAGTTTTGTCTGAAAGGGACAGGACTTTATTGCAGAACGTACATTGAGGTAAATAACTCATTCAGGTGAATGTATGTTAGTGTCATAATTTATGCTGAAAGCTTTGATAAATAAACAACTCATATTATATAGACATAAAGGATATATTTGCAGCACTTGGTTTGCATACTGCCAAGATTTTCATCATTAGTTACTCCTCTATCATTGTCATGCTTTTATTGTTGTGTTGTTGCGTTGCATTGCATGCTCTGGAACTGTTTCTAGTGTGAAACTCTTTCTTGCTTTTATTCTCTCGTGCTCTTTCACTTTCCTTTTCACTTCCTCTGCTCTTTCATCGTCTGCTTTTGCTTCTTCTTCTTTCTTGCACTTGGTTGATGACAGTCTGGTATTTGAGTCGTGTGCCTTCTGTTCCATGATATGCTCTGTTGTGTCACTGCTGCTGCCTGGTCTCTCTTTTCCTTCTCCTCCTTCTCCACCCTGGAAGGCAACCGACCTTAACGTACGTGTCTGCCTCAGACAACCTAATTTATAACTGTACAATGCTTATAACGATGCTTAACTCCTCACCGACTCTCCTTGTTATCCCCCGTGATCCACCCGAACGCCCCCAATCCTTTGCCCCAACCTACGTCTCTCTCCATCCCACTTTCTGCTCCCCCCCCCCCATGGCAGGACTTCCTGGGACAGGTCTACTGTACACTGGGAGAGATTGTGGGCTCACCGGCCAGTCGCCTGGAGAAACCTCTAGGGTGAGTGTTCATTTTACCGTGTTCACTTTCTGTTTTTGCACAATTGTGTGGCAGGAATATGAGCCACTCAGCTGGGAAGTGGTTTTCCTTTACTTACCCTCTCAAGCAGACAAATAGAACTTTTTAACTTTGCAAAGACGAGTTCTCAGATATTATCAGATAATGAAAACTCATTGCCCCCTCTCAGCCTATTCAAATGTAACATGGTTCTCCTGCTGGATTTCCAGCAAAGATGAGGCGGTGATGAATATGTCTACCTTCTAGAGCCATCTGTATTGTACATTACACTGCAAGATTAGACCCATGTGCTTGGATGGGAATGGGTAATTGAACACGAGCGGGGGCTTCCTCAATGCAATTACTGTCATTAAGGAGGCGATCTAGCACAGAGAGTGGATTGAAGTCAGCGTGAGACACATGGCACTATCAACTCCTCCTCAACGTAAATTGGGAAATATCAAGTCCTGAAGACATTGGCACCCACGGACGTGTGCGTGGCTGTTTGAGTTCCGTGTGTCATTCTGCGAATGAGAAGGAGGGTTGGACAAACTACGAAGCTTTTGTTTGTGTCTGAGACTATGAAGTGCAGTGTGTATGCCTCTGTGTGAAGTATGAGGCGATGCTGTTCCCTGCAGTGAAGGGGGGGGGTTGTGTGAGAAACAAGGCTTTGGTGTCGACCGTGAACTCTGCCAGGGACTGGTGGCGGTGGATTACAGAGCTCGGTGCCCTTCAGTGCTGAATAAGAGGATGAGCAGGATCAAGAGGCAGTGTTCACCAGTGTGCTGTAAACTAGGCTTCACACCCAACATCAGAGACAGGCAGGAGGCTCAGGAGCCCCCCAGACATATAGGACAAAAGTATTGATTCTGCAGCTTCAGCGAGGCACCTTGATCTCCGCTGACACTCTGCACTGATGCAACACCCAATTTATCTGCAGCAGAGGGTGATGATGATGATAGGTTGGCAGTACAGACCACAGTATAAAAACTGAAGAAATGAGCCCTCATAAAAATATTAACTTGTGTTGCTATTAACTGTCTCAGCAGCTTTTATGCGACGGAGTAGCAATTCAGAAACACAGGGAAAGTATAGGTTTAGTTTGATTCTCGGTTCCTGATGACATTCAGTTACCCTTTTATTCAGCCCTGTCCATTTTCAATAGCTAAACAATATTCATGGGTGTTTGAATGGAGCTTTCCTCCCATCCTGTGATAGAAGATAGCTGAGAAGTTGCTTAATGGTAAGTGCTGTATTTCCTTTTCCTGTCATGCATCCTGATGTGACAGTGCCTCTCTGGACCTGAGCTTTGAGGAACGGCTCCCACAGGGGCTGAGGGAATCTGTTAGCCATGCTTAAACAAGCCCTCCCAAGGCACACTGCATCCAATGACCTGCTTAAGAAGCACATCAGCACCCATTTCCCTATTTTCCACACTTCATCTCTCATTTATTCTCCCTCCTTCCATCCACCCATCCATTCTTTTTTTTCCTAGATTGACCCCCTTTCTCCTCATTGTGTTTTCGCTTTCTTTTTGTTCCCCCAAATCTCTCCCCGTCTCTCATTTTGCTCCAGAATTCGCTCCATCCAGCACACACACACAAATGTGTACTACCATACTTCTGAGAGCATTTTACTGACTTATCCTAGTCTTACAAAGCTCAGCGGTTTCAAATGAAGGAGAAGTGTTGCTTTGGAAGAGACGGTCTTTTTCGTCTTTTTACTCGGAGCTACACAGACATCCAATATACCGAACGATTCATCTCTTCAATATGAAGAGAAAGAGCCCACTTACAGCCCTGTAGGATGTTCTTTGTTCTTAGTTGTGGAGATGTAAAGCATGGGAGTGCTTTTGGTCACAGGAATGTTGATCAGTATTTCAATGTTTTGGAAGCTTTATGTTATTTGGAACGTGGTTGTATGGACAGAAATAGTGTTTTTAAGAAAAATCCCAATAAAAGCGAACATATAAACAGTAAATATGGCCAAAACATGGACATTCGCCTGGTATATTTTTGAAAAATTGTGTAATAACTGTTGTATAGTAGATTCTTTTCATCAAATTTACAGTAACAGTTGTATTCCAGGTGTATTCGAAGACATTCAGTTACATTATAATCAGTTGGGTGATGGTTTTGATGGTGATATTGCTATTAAAATATAGATTTTATACCAGGTGAGGATGATGATATCATAATTTCCTTTATTGCATCTCCATTTACTCTTTAATAGAAAAATAAGAATAGGAAATAGGATGTAGTGTCTGTGTTTAAGAGGCTAGTCTTACAATAACACTAAGCAAATCCGCTACGCTCCTCCCAAACCCAGAAATTAGCTGTCATAATTCAGACTTTCACCTTAAGCCCTTAATTGTTTATTTTTACTGTATTGGTACCAATGTTTTGTTCCCAGAGGGGTGGTGGGTCCACACATTTTAGTATATACAGACTGTGTCCCCTCACGATGTTGCAAATACATAGCTCCTACAAAATACATGTCTCCTACAAAATAAAGTTACACATTATACTAAAATTTGCTTTTTCAAATATATTTCGGAGGAAATGTAGTTGCTGTGTGGATCATGTATTTATTATTATTTTTTGCCTAAACCAGGATGAGTGAAGTTCTTTTTTTCTCACCATTTTAACCTTTATTGACAGATTGCAGTGACAGTCAGGAGGGATGACACCCAACAAAGGTTTATATGGTAAATGTCTTACATAACTACTAGGCTACCAGGACGCCCCCAAGTGTGAAGATCTTAAATCATAAGGAAGTGGTTGGGGTAGATAGTTGGGCTTGCAAAGCACAGAGTATTGACCCCGGAGACCAGGATTTATGTCCTTCCACGTAACGTACCATGTATTGATTAGTAAAGACATAATCCAAGCAGCATTACATTGCCTACAAAATGTATATGCCAGTGTGAGTTAGTCTTATACAAATGTATGTTTTATGAAACTAGTTTGAAGATCATGTTGCCTCAAATTCACTCCCTGCACTCATACCTTAACATTAATCATAACCACTACATACTTCATCCCAAGCCTAACTCAGCCCTTTAGACTTTAACAAGTCTTAATAAAGGCAAGTCTTAACCCCAAAATAAATTATTTACTTTGTGAGAACTGAATTATGGGGTGAATGTTGAGGTGTATGTGCACTAAGTAAGTAGTCATCCTGTTGCGGGATTCCTTGTTCCATTCTGATGACTACATTGTGCACACACACACTCATACGCTCTGCCCCTTTCATGTAAGCAGAAACCTGCTATACACGCTTGGCTCAATAATTTACCTTAATCATTTGTATGCACTGTGCACATGGGGACAAACGTAATGTTCTGGCATTCGATTCAGAGCAAATTCCACAGACTTATTTGTCGTGGGGTATGGCTTTTCCTACATCCCTTTCTTTATTAAGATTTATTTATTTACAGAAACGTGTACCAGTGGAGGGAATGTGAGCTATGAAGCACTGAATTGACACGGTGGTACAAATCCATTCTGTTTTAAACCTGGTTTTGATGAGAGGCATGAATCAAAGTATTGGAAGCTGAGGAAATACAAAGCTAAATGATTGACTGATGCAGGTGAATGGCATCTTGTACTGAAAAACACGTCTCATGGCTTTGATTATGTGTATAGCCTGTGGGAAGGCATCGTAATATGGTTGTGTAGGTAACATAATAATAGAGTTCATTATACAAATGGCAGTAACCTTTTCTGTTGGTATAGTAAATTATACCACACACTAGAGCATTTGAATGCAGCACAACATTAGCATGTTAAACCCATTAGCCTACTGTGACTGTGACCTCCTGCTGTACGCTTGAAGCAGGCAATGAACCATAAGCAAAACTGCAATAACTGCTGTGGGTGTGCTGGCTGCACCCATGGGAGCCAAGGGAGGAAAGGGATGCGTAGAAAAATATAGAAAATAATATATAAAAAGTGTGCATGCTGAATTCAATAAATTGAGAGCCGTAACTCACATGAAAGGCTCATTTGAACTGTATCCCACGAGTGGGAACCAAACCATCATTAAAACGAATAACCTTGTATTTCAGTTGTCTCTACAACACTTCATATATAGAGGTAACTGAGTAGGACGTTTAGGAATATATTTACGCAAAAGCAAGGATGTGTCTTTCACTTTTTAGTAAGAGGTCAGCTACTGTCTGTAGTTGCAGTTATGAGAAAAGACATAAAATATAAGTCTGATACAGTGAATCTATACACAACATTAACCACAAATGACTCCATTTATATGAAGATGAAGTAAAATGAATGCTTGAATGTGCTTTGGATGTGGAGGTACCATGGAAGTTTGATATAAGCCATAAGCCATAGACTCTGCCATACTCCTAGTTGTTTTAGCTTACTCCGTCCAGAGCCATGTAGAGAGTTGCATCATCGCTGTTCAATTTCAATTTAAGTGGTTATATTGGCATGGCTGCATACAATGCAACATTACCAAAGCATATTAATACAAACTGTACAATCATAATACACAAATAAACAATAAACAGTTCTCAATAATAGACACTCTCTCCAATGGAGCTCTCTACATGGCTCTGGGTTGCTCCTACCTTCAGCTCTGGCAAACCAATCATTGCTGATTGGTGTAATCGGTGCGCCAGTGCAGGACTGTCGCCACAGACACCAGATTTAAAAACGCTGGTATTCTGCGAATACAGAGAGATTTACCTGGCATTGTGTGAACTCGTTTGGCAAGGGCTTGAATGTAACAGGCTTTTACCATGTGAAAGTACCAAACTGCAGTTTTAAGCCTTCGCCATAAATTGTTGAAATGTGTCTTACATAGTTCACCAGAGCCTGCACCCAGTGGTACTTTAAATGCAAAACTTCAAAGTCAAAGGCTAAGCCAAAGTTAGATTTAAGTGAGCCCAGGGGTGGAACTAAAATATTAAACAATAAAAACAGAAGATGAAAGTGTAGTTAAGCTGATCCATTATCTCTTGGATTTCTACTTGTTTTGAT